ATACCCTAAATAATGTTGTTGTTTAGTAACATTCAGTCAGTTCCAACCCATGGCAACCCTGTATAGGGTTTCTGAGGAGCGGCTGGTGATCTTGAACAGACAACCTTGTAATTCAAATGACTGAGGTCCAGTGCATTATCTCACAAAACCATACCAAGACTCCATCCTAAGCAATACACTGTTTAATTTTCTTGGTTTTAAATTTAAATGAATATAATTATACTAAATTATTTCTATGATTTGTTTTCTCTTCACCTTTAATTTCATGCGTGTAAGAATTATATGCATAGAGTTTTCAGTGACTAGCGATTCGGAAGTAGTTTGTCACTCTTTCTTCCTAGTCTGTCTTTCTTTTGTAGCTCATCTGAAACCTTTCCACCATGGGTGACCCTGCTGGTTATTTAAAACACCGGTGGCATAGCCCTCAGAATCACAGCAACTCAAACCACCACAGATGATACTCAGAGAGGAAGTCCAAAGTGCATTGAAAGGAGAGCCAATGATACTCAGAGAGGAAGTCCAAAGTGCATTGAAAGAAGTGGCAAAGAACAAGGCACCAGGAATTGATGGAATAAAAATTGAGGTCTTTCAGGAAAGTGAGGCAGCACAGGAGACACTCACTCATCTCTGCCAAGAAATTTGGAAGACAACTGTCTGGCCGACTGATTGGAAGAGATCAATGTTTGTGCCCATTCCAAAGAGAGGTGACCCAACGGAATGCGGAAATCATCGGACAATCTCTTTGATATCTCAAGTGAGCAAAGTTTTGCTCAAGGTAATACAGAAACGGCTACAATCATACATTGACAGAGAACTTCCAGAGGTTCAAGCTGGATTCAGAAGAGGCTGTGGAACGAGATATATCATTGCTGATGTCCGATGGATCTTGGCTGAAAGCAGAGAATATCAGAAGGATGTTTACCTGTGCTTTATTGACTACGCAAAGGCTTTCGATTGTGTGGATCATGACAAGCTATGGACAACATTGAGAAGTATGAGTATTCCAGAACACTTAATTGTACTTCTATAAGAAATCTGTACCTAGACCAAGAAGCAGTTGTTCGAACAGAACATGGGAACACTGAATGTTTTAAAATTGGGAAAGGTGTGAGACAGGGTTGTATTCTTTCACCATACTTATTCAACCTGTATGCTGAGCAAATAATATGAGAAGCTGGGTTCTATGAAGAAAAACGTGGCATCAGGATTGGAGGAAGACTCATTAACAACCTGCGATATGCAGATGATACAACCTTGATCGCTGAAAGTGAAGAGGACTTGAAACATTTACTTATGAAGATTAAAGAGCACAGCCTTAGATATGGATTACATCTCAATGTCAAGAAAACAAAAATCCTCACCACTGGACCAATAAACAACATTCTTATCAATGGAGAAAAGATTGAAGTTGTCAAGGACTTCATTCTTCTTGGATCAACTATCAACACTCGCGGAAGTAGCAGTCAAGAGATCAGACGACGTATTGCATTGGGCAAATCTGCTGCACAGGAACTGTTTAAAGTGTTGAAGAGCAGAGATGTCAGCTTGAGGACTAGGATGCGCCTGACCCAGGCCATTGTGTTTTCAATAGCCTCATATGGATGCGAAAGCTGGACAGTGAATAAGGAGGATTGTAGAAGAATTGATGCCTTTGAGTTGTGGTGTTGGAGGAGAATACTGAAAGTGCCATGGACTGCCAAAAGAACCAATAAATCTGTTTTGGAAGAAGTACAGCCAGAGTGCTCCTTGGAGGCCAGGATGGCTAAGCTTCGTCTCTCCTACTTCGGACATATTGTCCGGAGGAAACAATCGCTGGAGAAGGATGTCATGCTGGGTAAGGTGGAGGGTCAGAGAAAAAGAGGAAGACCCCCAACGAGATGGATCAGCCAGGTGGCATCATTGATGGACTCAAGTGTGGCAGCGGTAGTGAGGTTGGCCCAGGATCGAACATTGTTTCGTTCTACTGTGCATGGGGTCGCGATGAGTCGGTTCCGACTCAATGGCACCTGACAACAACAACAACAACAATTATATGCATTGTTGCTTAGAAATGTGATTCATTTGTCTTCATACGGAGTTCTGGTGCGATGCTGTAGGATAAGCACTGAGCCAAAAGGTCGGTTTTAACTGCAAGGTTAGTGGTTCAAACTCACCAGCGGCTCATCAGAAACCCTATACAGGGTTGCTCTAAGTTAGAACCAACTCCACAGTACTTAACACAGCAACAACATCATACTAAACATGCTGACTGAATGCTGTTACTAAAAGACAATTTCAAAAAATATAGGAATTAATGTTTGTATTTTTAACCATTTAAAAATGCAAAACCTGTTTTTAGCTCAAGACATACAATAACAGTATTGGCCCAGATTTGGCCCATGGCATGTAATATTATTTGTGATGGCAAAAATATGTGAAAAAATTCATATATTAATTGTCGAATAGGTAAATAAATTGCAGAGCTGTGGGTTAATGTGCTAGACTGCAAAGTCAGTTTGAACCACAAGGTCGGCGGTTCAAGCTCACCAGCTGCTCCTTGGAAACCCTATACAGGGTTGCTATGAGTTAGAACTGCCTCGAAAGCTTAACAACAACAATATCAATATAGTAAACTACCTTACTCAGTGTTGTTGTTAAGTGCCATTGAGTTGGTCAGACTCATAGCAACCCTGTATTGTGTGTGTTGACGGTTATTGTATATCCTTAGCTAAGAACAGTTTGTTTGTTTGTTAGTTTTCATTTTTTCATGATTAAAATGCAATCATAATTCTTACATTTAAAAAAAATTTTAACAGCAATCAGTCAGCATATTTACTATGATGCTGTTGTTGAGTGCTATGGAGTCAGTTCTGACTCCTAGCAACACTGTATAGCGTTTCCAAGGAGCAAGTTGGTAGGTATGAACTGCCAACCTTGTGGTGTGACAACCAGTGCTTATCCTATATCGCCACTCCAGGAATCCCATGTTTAGTATAATAACTAGTATTGTATTTAAGCGCTCTAGTAATTCTAGGAGTAATACTAACACAGTTTTCACCTCCATTTTCCTCACTTTTGCTGGTATGAACAAGTTATTCTTCATTGCTTTTCCTCCTTGCAAATTTGAAAGTGAATTACTCATATGAATTACATGGGCAGTATGTTCTTTAAATAAAGAAAATTTTCTTCTTTTACCATAATAGGTCAATGTCCTCAGGACTAGCAATAGGATTCTTAGATTACTGTCCTTTTTCTCTTTTAGTGACATGCAATAGTGTCTCCCTGCTTCCAGTGCTACAAAGGAGAACTCAGACGTGAACCTATGCAGTTTTTGTCTCTGTCAGTAACTTTACAAGGAGCCCTCACGGCACAGTGGCTAAGCACTCAGCTGCTAACCAAAGGTCAATGGCTCAAATCCACCAAACACTCCACAGGAGAAAGATGTGGCAGTCTCCTTCCAAAAAGATTTACAGTCTTGCAAATCCTATAGGTTAGTTCTACTCTATCCACTCAAACAGCTGAGTCAGAATCTTCTTGACAGTTATGGACACGGTTTGGTTTTTAGATGGCGGAATCAACACAATTGGCTTAACAGTATGAATATGGTTTGGTTTTTGGAAGGAAAAGTCAATTCAACAGCAACTAATTTATTTCTATATGTGGGACTTTTAAAAAAAGTTTTTTTATGCATTCTCACTTAGAACCAAGTAAGCCCTTTATTAATATGAACCTGAGGTCTTTTATTCACCTTAAAAATTGTTTTTCTGTTATCAATAGAATAATCAATTCTGCTCTCTCATTGCCTTTTCTCCCCTTTTCATTGGATATTCATGATTCTCTATCATTTCTTAATTGGTTTTGGACATTTCCTACATTTGATTATCAAGATAATTTGAGTCTCATCAATAACCATTTTGTTTCTAATTCCTCTTCTAAAATCTTTAGCGTATAAATCAAGCTTTTTATTACTTTTGTTAGTTTACTTAAGATGGTCTTTTTAAAGTCATACATGAGTAATTTTACTGGGACTTTTTTCTAAAGTTTATTTTTGTTATTCAAAATGTTATCTGTTTATTTTGCTTTTTTAAAAAATGCTCCCAAAGATGTTTTTATTTTTCCATTCATTGATTCTTAGACCAGTTACTGGGTGTCCACTTCTCATGATGATTAACAGGGCAGTCTCCAGTCCTGTGTCTCAGTTACTGTAGCATGTACACTATCACTCCAAGAAGATAACACAGAAAAATGTCCCTCTCCTCCATGTAGACCCTGTTCTCTGTCAGCACTCTCCCTTCAGATATGGAGAAGACACACCCCTCTCATTTAGTTCTTCCTGTATTACACAGAAAGCAAGGAAACCAAGCATAATCATGTGTCACATAATGATCTTTATCCAGTGGGGGAGCTGCAGCCAGCTTGTAATGGATCATGAGTCAACTGGAAATTTATAGAAATTTTGTGAAACAGTTGATGTTAAGTTGGTTGGCTTGAAATCGGTCATGGTGGGAATATGCATCCACTGAAACTGGCAAACTTATACAAATGAGGACCTGCCGATCCAAGAGCCAGTTGTTAAAACATTTAGCAGCACAAAGTGCCTCAATCCAATAGCTCATAATTCTCTAAGCTCCGAGAACTCTATTACACAGAAATATATACATATATATATAAACATATATACATATATCTCCTGTCCCAAGCAGTTCTGTTAAGGATGTTACATCTATCAGCTCCTTTCAAGGATAACCAATAAAACATTAAAACTCTCTCATAGTGCCACAGTCCTAACTGCTACACCAGAGTTTAAGTTATAGTGGAAAGGAAGGAGGTACTCTCTCAATGAAATATTTACCTGGAATCCATTTCAACTAGCTATGAAATTTAATTAATATGATACTCCATAAGAAACTAAAATATTAACCAGCTATGACTGGGAAAAGTCTATCTTGGTAGAAATGAGTAAATTTTCTATATTATTAAAATAAGAACTTAGTATAATAAACATTGTAGAATTCATATACCTTTTTCTAGTTCCACTGGGAAAAGTTCAAGTTTTTCTACACGCTTTTCTAGTTCATATTCAGCTGAAGCAGCTACAGGATCAACTTCATCATTTCTCCTGTCATAGTCTTCATTGGAGTATGTATTAAAAACCTGTAGTAAAAAACAAACAAATATAAGGAAACATCATATAAATATAAGATAACGGCCATCACTCATCTGTCAGTCTGTCATACTGTGGTGGCTCGTGAGTTGCTGTGATTCAGGAAGCTATGCCATGGGTATTTTAAATACCAGCAGGGTCACCCATGGTGGACAGGTTTCATATGAGCTTCCAGACAAAGACAGGCTAGGAAGAAGGAGTGATGAACTACTTACGAATATTTCGTCACTGAAAACCTTACAAATACCAGAGAAACACTGTCAAATACAGTGCCGGAAAATGAGCCCCTGAGGTTGGAAGACACTCAGAATGCAACTGGGGAAGAGCTGCTTCCTCAAAGTAGAGCTGAACATGGTGACACGAATGGAGTAAAGGCCAAGGATGAAAAGCCCATGGGACCTTCATTTTCTGATGGGGCATAACTCAAAATGAAGAGAAACAACTATAAACATCCATTGGAACCCGGATATGGAATGTACAAAGTATGAATCTGGGAAAATTGGAAGTTGTAAAAAATGAAATGGAACACATAAACATCACTATCGTAGCCATTAGTGAGCTGAAATGGACTGGTATTGGCCATTTTGAATCTGACTACCACATGGTTTACTATCCCAGGAATGACAAATTGAAGAGGAATGGTGTTGCATTCACTGTCAAAAAGAATATATCCATATCAGTCATGAGGTACAATGCAGTCTGTGATAGGATAAATATCCATGCACCTACAGGGAAACCCAGTTAATACCACTATTATTCAAATTTACACACCAACCACTAAAGCCAGTGAGGATGAAAAAGAAGAATTCTACAACTTCTTCAATCTGAAGTTGATCAAACATGCAATCAAGATGTATTGATCATTACAGGTAATTGGAATACAAAGGTTGGAAGCAAGGAGGAAGGATCAGTAGTTAGAAAATATGGCCTTGGTGATAGAAATGATGCTGGAGAATGCATGATAGAATTCTGAAAAACTAATGATTTGTTCATTTCAAATACCTTCTTTAGACAGCATAAGAGACGACTATACACATGGACCTTACCAGATGGAAAACATAGAAATCAAATTGACTACACTGGCGCAAAGACACGATGGAAAAGCTCCATATCATCAGTGAAAACAAGGCCAGGGGCAGACTGTGGAAAGACCATCAATTACCCATATGCAAATTCAAACTGAAGCTGAAGAAAATGAAAACAAGTCCAGAAGAGCCAACAAATGACCATGAATATATCCCAACGGAATTTAGAGATCATCTGAAGAACAGATTTGATACATTAAACACTAAAGACCGAGGACCAGAAGAGTTGTGGGATGACATCAAGAACATCATACATGAAGAAAGCAAAAAGTCATTGAGAAGATAAGAAAGAAGTTAGAAGACCAAAAAGAAAGAACACACGCAACACTATCCAGGCTCAAAGAAATGAAGAAAAAGGTTAAGTCTCAGGTTACAATATTAAAGATTCTATAGGTAGAATAAACGAGATGGTAGGCAGAACCCGCGAGCTGGAAGACAAATCTCTCAATACCACTAAGATAGAAGAGCAAAGAGGAAAAAAAGGAAGGAAAATCTGAAGAAGGTCTAAGATCCATGTTGGACAACATGAAGAGGAATAACTTAAGAATTATCGGCATTCCAGAACAAGAAGAAACACACAAGTCCACAGAGGAAATAGTTGAAGAACTGCTGGAAAAAAACTTTTCTAACATCTTAAAAAGTGAAAAGATAAACATTCAGGAAGCTCAACAAACCCCAGGAGGGATGGACCCCAAAAGAAAATCACTGAGACATATCATAATCAAACTCTCCAAAATCAAAGATAAGGAGACACTCCCAAAAGCAGCTAGGGAAAACAGAAGTGTTACATACAACCGCAAGGAAGTCAGATTAAGCTCAGATCTCTCAGCAGAAACCATGTAAGACAGAAGGCAATGGGGAAACATATATAAAACCCTGAAAGAAAAAAACTACCAACCAAGAATCCTTTATCCAGCAAAGCTATCAAACAGGTACAGCACTGTAATCAAAACATTTCAGGATAAACAGAAGCTAAGAGAGTTTGCCAAAGACAACCCTGCACTACAATACATCCTAATGGGAGTTCTGTGGACTGAGCACCAACAAGAAGAGACAACAATCAGAAATTGATGTGGCAGCACTTCCCAAAATTAAATCGACAGATGCAAAAGTCGAGAACAGAACAAAACTATAAGAACAAACTCAGAGAATCTAGGAGGTCAGTCTATGATCAAATCAATTACAATGTAAAAGAAGGTAAACACATAGGAACAGAGATCAAGATGTTGAGAAAGTCAAGTAGATTACAAGATAAAATAGACTGCACTAAATGGAGGGAAAAGTTAATGGACTATAAGGTAACCTCAAAGAAAATAAACACTTTTACAACATACCAAGAAAATGTAAATCCACGAAGAACATGGAAACATGAAAACTAGGAGGAAATTCACAAGAAAAAACACAAAAAGCATGAACTCAACAAAGGCAGAAACACAGAACAAAGAAAGCAGCAACATCACACACACAAAAAAACATAATTGCAGCAATTAATCCATACCTAACGATAATTACACTAAATGTAAATGGATTAAATGCACCAGTTAAGAGACGGAGAGTGTCAAAACGGATAAGAAAACAAGATCCTTCAATATGCTGTCTGCAAGAGACTCATCTCACACACAGAGGCAAAAACAGATTAAAAGTCAATGGATGGAAAAACATATACCAAGCTAATTGCAATAAAAAATGAACAGGAGTGGTAGTACTAATCTCTGATAAAATAAACTTTAAGGCAAAAAGGTGCATAATAGATGAAGATGGATATATCTCATGATTAAAGGGACAGTTGAACAAAATGACATAACCATAATAAATATCTATGCTCCCAATGAAAGAGCTCCAAAATTTATAAAGCAAACTTTTATAGATTCGAAGAAAGAAATACACTAATGTACGATAAAAGTGGGTGATTTTAATACACTGCTTTCAAAACTGGATAGAACAACCAGAAAGAAAATTGACAAAGACACAGAGGAAGTAAACAACACAATCAGCTAACTGGACCTCACAGATGTATACAGAGCATTCATTCTAATAATAGCACAATACACATTCTTTCCCAGTGCACATGGAACATTCTCCAGAATAGACCATGTCTTAGGCCACAAAACAAATCTCCATAAATTTACAAATATCAAAATACTACAAAGCATCTTCTCAGACCACAATGGTATCAAATTAGAAATCAGCAATAGGAAGACCAAGGAAATAAAGTCAAATACTGAATGATACTCTGCTGAAAAGCGACTAGGTAGTAGAAGAAATTAAATGTGAATTCACAAAGATTCTAGAAACAAATGAGAATGAAAACAAAACATACCAAAATCTACGGAACACATCAAAAGTGGTGCTGAGAGGACAATTTATTGCAATAAATACACACAGCCAAAAAGAAGAAAGAACCAAAATTAACAAATTAACACAGCATCTACAACAATTAGAAACAGACCAAACAAAGGGAACCTACAGCCACCAAAACAAAAGAAACAATAAATACTAGAGCAGAAATAAATGAGATAGAAAACAGAAAAACTATAGAAAGAATCAACAGGACAAGATGTTGGTTCTTTGAAAGGATTAAAAAAAAATTGACAGACCACTGGCAACCCTAAAAAAAGAAAAGAGGGAGACAACACAAATAACACACATTAGAAACCACATGGGCGATGTCACAACAGAACCAAAGCAAATCAAAAGGATTATAACAGAATTCTATGAAGAGTTGTACTCCAAAAAATTTGAAAACTTAGAAGAGATGGTTACATTTTTAGATAAACACGATCTACCTAAACTTACACAGAGTGAAGGAAAAAACATGAACAGACCCATAACAAAACAAGAAATTGATTAGGTCATCAAAAAACTCCTAACCAAAAGAAGTCCAGGCCCATATGGCTTCACTGGTGAGTTCTACCAAACATTCAGGGAAGAGCTGAATGCTAATCAAATTATTCCAGAATATAGAGGAGGATGGAAAATTTCCTAATACATTTTATGAAGCAGGCATAACCCTCATAGCAAAACCAGGGAGGGACGTCACTAAGAAAGAAAATTATAGACCAATATCCCTAAGAAACATAGATGCAAAAATATGCAACAAAATCCTAGCCAACAGAATCCAGCAGCATATCAAAAAGATAATACATCATGACCAAGTGGGATTCATATCCGGGATGCAAGGATGGTTCAACATTAGAAAAATGATCAACGTTATCCACCATATAAATAAGAAAAAATAAAAGAACCATATGATCATATCGACTAATGCAGAAAATGCATTTGACAAAATCGAACTTCCATTCCTGATACAAACACTCAACAAAGTCGGAATTGAAGGGAAACTCCTCAACATAATTAAAAGCATATACACAAAACCAACAGCCTACATTACTCAGTGGAGAGAAACTGAAAGCCTACCCTCTGGGAACAGGAACCAACAAGAATGCCCTTTGTCACCACTCTTATTCAATATTGTGCTGGACGTCATAGCACGAGCTATATGGCAAGACAGGGAAATTAAAGGCATCCTGGTGTGGCTCTGTGGATTAATGTGCCAGACTACAAAGCTGTTTGAACAGTAAGGTCATCGGTTCAAGCTCACCAGCGGCTCCTCAGAAACCCTATACAGGGTCGCTATAGGTCGAAATCGACTCGACGGCACTTAACAACAAGAACAAATTGACAAAGAGGAAGTAAAATTCTCTCTATTTGCAGATGATATGATCCTCTATGTAGAAAACCCCAAAGACTCAATAAAAAAGCTACTAGACCTCATGGGAAGATTCAGCAAAGTGGAAGGAAATAAGATCAATATACAAAATTCAGTTGGATTCCTCTATACCAAAAATGACAGCATTGAAAAGGACATTAGGACAGCAATACCATTTACAGTAGCTGTCCAAAAG